TTTTCAGGTTTGCGCAACTCTGCTGCGGCATTTTTCATCTGCATCGCGACCTTGATTTTCATCGAACAAACTTCGTTCGCTTTTGGTAATTTATTTGTACATGCAGTTGCTGCAGAACAATGATTCTCTTTCGTATGTAGGATCTATGATGTCAGCAGCGTCACCAAACTTTGCAGTTGCTGCAAGTCTGGCTGGTCCACTGTTGACCTTGGTACAACTCACTGGTGGCCTGTACGCTAATGTTGCGTAAGTTGTAAGGTTGATGTCGTTTCATAAAAGCGGCTGGTTCCGTATGATGTTACGTAATAGACCATCAGTTAGATCCGGACAGAGGGCTAAAGTGTCGAAAATTAAGTGAAGTCAGATTTGGCTGTGATTGATGGGTTGTTTTACTACGATAGACTTCTTGTAGAAATTTACCTCCATGGACTATAGTTGTTCAGTGGGTACAGCATGAGGCCTCAAGTGCTAAGATTGCAGATTCAAGTTCGGGGTGGTATCGATTGCGTTCATCCTTCCAGAGTAGATAGATGGATAGACCACTTTGGACGAGCGAAACAAAAACAGCATGCTATATTGTTAATCTAACTGTAGACATTGCCTTGAAAGGAAAGGCAGGAAAGCACTCTTGTCTGACGAGACAGCAACTGAATTAGTGATGTACCACGTACCACAAGCTCCATAAATGAGGGCGTTGCAAGTGATACCAAATTATGGAATTGTAAGAAAGACTGACATCTTTGCAGTTACAGTCTTTGTTCTTCTTCTTATCATTATGATGTTTATGGCGTCGCAGTGGTCTCCGATTCGATGTCATCAACTGTAAATGTCTTTCGTAGGCAAGAATTGTGTACAGCTGTGAGCAGACATAGTGCAAAAACTCTAATTCACTTCACCGTAGTGATGCGCTTTGTCTTATATAAGGACCTAGATAAAGGTCATATTTTCCGATTTTGTTGATTGTATGAGTGAACATATTTAAAATCGTTAACTTTTAGCACACTGCCGGTTTACCTTTCATGGATTCAGTACTTGTCGTGGTTTCGGTACGGGTTCGAGGCAGTGGCTGTCAATCAGTGGCACGGGATCGAAAACATAAGTAAATGTTGTGTCAATGGTGTCCGGCTACTTTGGTCTAACTTAGCCGTTAATAATAATATCGAAGGTGATGACAAATCATGGCGAAGGTAATGTTTATTAAATAAAGTTGTCAAATGACATCGTTGCCTTTCACCAGCGGCTGTGTCGGTTTACAACAAAGTCAGATGTTTGTCGAAGGTAAATGGTGTCATTAAGTGCAATTAGTGAAAACAGTATAAAGCAAGGCTTGTTTGTACACACGCCAACAATTTAGTCAATCGAATGATTGGTCAGTATCGACAGTGCGGCCTATCTCATGGGCCTTCTTCAAGATAGAGGGTTGGGTTAATTTACGCTGATTCTGAAGATTGATCGATCGTGGTCTGAAACATCTGGCATTTTGTAAAAAATATGGTTCATAATAAACTTGCTAGGAACTTTGTCCTTAGTCACTCACTACTCACTGTCCTCAGGTAAAACTGTTTTGTAGTTTGCAGGCTAATTATACTTTGCTATCAATTATGCGTTTGGGAGGAAGTTTGATTTCAAGCATCGCCCTGTCTTAATTAATGAATAAGTAAACAGCATTGTCAATTCCAGTTAAAGTTTTGAAAGTTGGATTTTCCTTTGCAAAAACATTTTTATCTAACCATGCAGGTTAAAAATTTAACCAACGGCAGGTTGTTTCCAGAAAAATTTCGCATTGCAGTAATCAACGAACTCAATAGGCTCTTTGTTGAATTATTTGGTGAAAAACTCATTGAATACTGGGCTTACAGAAAGCGAACTATTTTTCCAGAGTTAAGCCAATTGTTTTCTTGACTAGTTTTATTTGATGTAAACGATACTAGAACTAAAACTTTTTAACTTTACGTTATTCTAAATTGCGGAATTTGTCGTCATGATCATCAAAGAATTGATCTATGCTTATTACGCTTCGTATTTTAGCATGTGAAACGCCGGAAATTGCATGCATTAAAAATGGAGACGAAATACTGAAAAACCTGAACTTCTCAGCGGTAAAATATTATTTAATTTCGATCATATCGGTAAATCTGGCATTGTGAACTTACAGCTAAATTTTGGACGAGACTACGGTCTGATGGCGGTGCTAATCGTTGCCTTTCACATATTGGCCTATTTCGCTCTGTGGTTCAGGACATCGAAAGCACGCTGATGTTTTCTTTATCCCTGAGGTTCACGATGCAGCGGTCAAGAAGTAAATTGCCTTATTTTGCCGCTGAAAGATCAGTTTGATTTGCTTGTATCATTCTTCATTGTAATTGCCGATTGTTATTGTGCAAAGCCGAATATAAACTAATCCAATGGATTGTCTTGGCACACTTCTCTGACCAGTTGAATCCGTCAAACTTACAGAACTACCTTTTCGTCGCTTTCAGCATTAGATTGATGTTAACAAATTCTGAAATTGAAAGAACTGTTTTTATCTCTTCCTAATCTTTGGCTGAAGAGACGTAAAGAATAGTTGCTTTGTTTAGTGACCTATCAATTACTCGTCTCAAATTTGCCTGGGAAATTGTCTGCTAGTAGTATGAGAGTTAATGCCAGATGTGGAATTTGAACCGGCGCCTGTCAAGCACGGGACAAACAACTAACCCATAGCACCACTGTACCTGATTTCCCATAGTCACGGTTACTGTAATCTACAAGCCATGGAACTACTGTTAGGTACACTCTGCCAAGTGCATGTGGTAGAGTTCATTATGATAATGGCGCAGCGTTGATCTCATTTCTGTGCCATCATGAAGTGCCTTATTTCTTAAGGCAGAAAGTACAGTTATGGCGCATGCAGGTTCATATTTCCTTCCCATAGAGGGATACGCACTTATCAACATCAGAAAGAAGAAAGGTGTGACCGGACTGGGGCTCAAACTCATAACCTCGAGGTTCTGAATCCGAATGTAGAACTCAGCCTATAGTAGAGTTCATCTCTGCTTGACTTATGACGGATGGTTGAGCCCAACCGGCGAATTGTTGCGGGAGAATAACAGCGCCAAGGCAGATATCGATAAGGAGTCAGTGTTCGGCGTCGGTCTCCATGAAGTTCTTGTCAACTTTTGAATGAAGATGTTTAGTGGTCCCGCTTAACATGTTGATTTTCTGGTATTGTTGCTTTCTCATTGTCGTTTGAGCTTGATAAAGCGTTAGCAGTAAAATAACCCAAATTTATGATGGTTTTTCAGATTCATATTTGACATACCTGATGCTTTCTGGTTTAATAGGTTTTAATTTGGCAAAAACTGGAACACTTTTATAGTTAAAGCAAATGAAGACAACCTGCAAAAATCAACAAAAGTAACAAAACAAAAAACAATTTTCAAATGACATCCTAGAACATTAAAAAACAATCACTTTGCATACATAATCGCAAAAGTTTAGTTC